GAAATCTTTCCACCACCTGGAGGTTGGCAACTCTAAGTTAAAAGATTCAGGCAGGAGGTGCCATGGAAGACCTCAGCCTCAGACCCTGGAGAGCAGCTGCCAGTCAGAGTAGACAATGCAGACCTTGATAGACCAGATGGTCTGAGTCAGTAGGAGGCAGCTTCTTCTGATCCCTGTTGAATGTTGGGAGCACATCTCTTGGGCGGGGTGGCTTGTTACAAACCAGCCTGGAATCCCTGGATTGGCTCTGGGCAGAAAAGGAAGCCTGCTACCTTTCCCACTCCCCAACACCCCTCTGAATCAGCAGCATGGAAAGACCCCCTGCACTCATCGGACATCGAGATGAGCAGTCGCTCTCCTTCTCAAACATTTGCCCTTCTGAGTCCCACAGGTTCCAAGAGAGTAAAGCTATTTGTAGAAAGCAAATGACATTCACGGCAAAGCGGAGCGGGGGCAGAGAAGAGGGGAGCCCCCTGACGCCAGCAGCCCCAGCAGTTTTCAACCACTTGGCAAGCTGCGATGTGCGGGAGGCTGTTATGTAAGCTTTGCAGCACCAGAGGTTTATGTAACAATAGAGGAAAAAGCAGTGTGCAGATGGGGACAGGGAGAGAGCAGTTTTGTGTGCAGCTGCTGAGGAACTAAGGACAGAGTCCCGAGTAGTGGAAGGGTTTCATGGGAAGTGGGAGATACCAGATCTCAGCCTGGGACTCTCTTTTGAATGCCAGGGTTCAAAACTCAAGTATGTGAAGGAATAATTTTTTAAAAGTCCCTGGAGCATGTGCAAAGTATTTTCTTCATCATCCTGGTGTCACTGCAGCCTGCCTACACACACCCCAAGTATTAGCCACCAGGTTTACAATGGAATCCTTACTCTCATCTAAGTCAGTAGACTTAGACTGGATTAACCGCACACAGGACTGATGCACCGTTACAGTGCAATCCTAAAAAGCGTCATGACTTTCTAAGTTCATTGAAGTCAAGCTTAGAATGGTGTAATTCTGTTTAGGCTTGTGGTGTGTCACGTTTTCTCAACTTTTTGATACCTGCTCCCCTCCCCAACTAAAACTGGAGGCATGATTCCTTCTGCACCCAAAACAAGAATATCTATTTTCTCAATCAGCTCCATTAAACAAGGGCCAGGAATGGGCCAATTAATATCGTCCTCCAGCATCCTACCTTCCCCTTTGCCCTGTAGTTAGTCAGGCTCAGAGATGATGCTGTGCTTTGGGGCACAGGGTTGTGCTTTCTGAGTAACGGCGATGCTTTAGGGATTTCCCTGCACTCACCAGTTGGTACGCAGACCGTATCAGGGAACACATGAAGCTGCCTTCTACTGATTCAGACCCTTGTCTATATTGGTCAGTATCAGTATCGTCTGACTGGCAGCAGTTCTCCAGGGTCCTTCACATCAACCCGTCCTTTTAAATGGAGATACTGGGCACTGAACTGGAGATCTTCTGCAAGCAGAGCAGGTGCTCCCCCACTGGGTTACAACCTCTCTCCCCCAATGTAGCACATCTTTCTTCCCCCCACTCCGTGAATTGATTTTGCTGTCCATTATTCAATACCTATATATCCCATGTATGGCTGCGAGAGTTGGACTATAAAGAAGGCCGAGCGCCGAAGAATAGATTCTTTTGAACTATGGTGCTGGAGAAGACTCTTGAGAGTCCCTTGGACTGCAAGGAGATCAAATCAGTCAATCCTAAAAGAAATCAACCCTGACTGTTCCCTGGAAGGCCAGATAATGAAACTGAAGCTCAAATACTTTGGCCACCAAATGAGAAGGGAGCACTCACTGGAGAAGACCCTGATGCTGGGAAAGATTGAAGGTCAAAGAAGACGGGGACGGCAAAGGATGAGATGGTTAGACAGTGTCATCGATGCAACGAACATGAAATTGAGCCAACTTCAGAGGACGGCGGAAGACAGGAGGGCCTGGCGGGAGATGATCCATGGGGTCGCGAAGAGTCGGACTCGACTGTGCGACTGAACAACAACAACAACATATATCCCATACTCTCAGCATTGCCCTGGAGGCAGCTTCCAATCAAGAACAATTAAAAGACTCAGCATCACAAAAAGAATCCAAAGCAACCATCAAAACAGCACAGACCCAAACCAGAGTAGCAAAGAGACAGCTGAGGTGACGATAACCAATCTGTATATGGCAGTGATGGCGAACCTTTTAGAGACCGAGTGCCCAAACTGCGACCCAAAACCCACTTATTTATCGCAAAGTGCCAACACGGCAATTTAACCTGAATACTGAGGTTTTACTTTAGAAAAAACAACTCATACATTAACTTAAGATGATCCAAACAAAGTAAGGAAAGCAATCCCAAATGCTTTCATTTACTTAAAATTATTTGGCAGAGAATTCGACACTTTAATGATGGTCTGGGCCTGGCTGGGGCGATGGCATGTGTGCCCACAGAGAGGGCTCTGAGTGCCACCTCTGGCACCCGTGCCATAGGTTCGCCACCACTGGTATATGGTATTTGGTTCCAATGGCCATAGAGGGGTAGGATGTATTTAACAGGGCGACTCAATGGGCTGGACTCTGGAGTCTATGAACTGAGAGTGAAAGGCAGTCACAATCACAGACCTTTTCCCCAGCCTCCTGAGATCTCCAAAAAGCTGATACTGAGAGTTACAGGAGCCTTATGGACAAAATATCCTGGGGCATGGTGGGCTGCTGTGGAAAGGAAGAATTAGGCTACATGGACAGTGCTTCCACCTCCCTGGTGGAGCACCTTGCATGGATGGAAACTCTGCCACTGGAAAAGCAAGGAGGGATGATGTTGTACAATGCCCCCCCTTTACCTACCCACCCCTGTGACCTCTTTGCATTTTGTCCAGGGGGCAGTTTGGTGTAGTGGTTAAGTGTGTGGACTCTAATCTGGGAGAACCGGGTTTGATTCCCCACTCCTCCACTTGCACCTGCTGATGTGACCTTGGGTCAGTCACAAGCTCTGGCACAGCTGTCCTTGAAAAAGAGCAGTTTGTGTCAGAGTTCTCTCAGCCCCACCCACCTCACAGGGTGTCTGTTGTGGGGAGGGGAAGGGAAAGGAGTTTGTAAGCCGCTCTGAGACTCCAAGTGAAGGGCGGGGTATAAATCCAATCTCTTCTCTTCTTCTTCTTCTTCTTCTCTTGTAACTGTGACAATAAGCTTTTGGGGAGGGGGTGTCTCAGGAGTCTTCTGGGAGAAGGGAACTATATCCACGAATGCTCTCACATCCACATGACCCAACCCTGATTTTGTTGAAAACGTTGTATTTTGCTTTTATAACATAGAAACACGAGAAAAAGCACATACAAAATAACAAGATGGATCCACAGGCAACAAAAAGGTTGCCCGTGTCAAAAAAGAAGTTGAGCAGCGAGGAAAAGGATAAATAAGAAAGGATGAAGTCACTGTAAAATTGACTAAAAATAGGCGTGCTACACAGGCGGCTGTGAAATATGAATTTCATTAGCATTCACGTCGCCTGGAAGTGACGCGGGCACGCTGGGCACGCTGGGGGCGGGGCCACGACCATTCGAGGGAAAACCATAGAGTTTTCCCTCTGATGACCGTGGCCCCGCCCCCAGCGTGCCCAGCGTGCCCAGCGTGCCCGCGTCACTTCTGGGGGACGTGCACGTCAGGGTGGAGTTCCCCCCAGGGCCTGATCCGCCCCCCGGGGGGACTTGGCAAGCCTAAGTTGGCTGGGTTGGGAAATACCTGAAGATTTTGGGAGTGGAGCCTGGGGAGGGGCGGGCCCTCAGTGGGCTGTAATGCCACAGAGTCCAGGGGAGCTGATCTCCCAGGGGAACTGATCTCTGTTGACTAGAGAACATTTCTAATTCTAAGAGATCTCTAGGTCCCACCTGGAGGTTGGCAGCAGTAGGCCTTTGTAATCTGTTTTAGTAGCAGGCTGCTTGCTAACACATTTTTTGCATCATTTCAGACACAACCATTTTAGCAACTGGCTGCTAACGGCTTTTGTTTACCTTTTCATACAAAGCTGCTCACGTCCAGTGTTCCCTCTAAGCTGAGTCAGTGTGAGCTAGCTCACAGTTTTTTAGCCTCTGGCTCACACATTTTTGTCTTAGCTCAGGAAGGATGGCTCCAGAGCAAATTAATTTATGCAGTAGTCAAATTGCTCACTCACAACTTTAATGCCAGTAGCTCACAAAGTAGCATTTTTGCTCACAGGACTTCACAGCTTAGAAGGAGCATTGTCCAGTTGGCAAAGTGGGGTTTAGCCGTGTTTGAGGTACATGGCTTTCTTCTGTTTTCACCTCTTCATTGCGCTTCTGAATTGTTGTATGTTGTTTAAAATGTCTGCAGCACTTCCAATAGTGCCACTTCCCCCCTGCCCTTTGTCACAGCACTGTCTTTCTTGTGGTTGGGGGTTTCTTGTCTAGTGCTATAGCGCTCAACTTAGAACAATTTAAAAAACACCAATTGCAAGAAAAAGGGCGGTGGGGGGGGGGGAAGCGGCACCCTTTGAAATGGCCAAAGCGCTTCAGACAGAGCTCATTAACGGAATAAAATTCACTGTATGAAAACTCCTGTCCCTGTGTCGCTTTATTTATTTATTTAATTATTATTCACACTTCTATCTCGCCCTCCCCGAAGGCTCAGGGCGGCTAACAGGCATATTGCTAAATAAAACAATAAAAACAGTACAAAATATTAAAAACACATCACAATTGATAGACAATTTTGGTGCGCCTCTGAACCACATAAAGTTACACTTTCTAAAAACAAGATGGCCGTCCCCTAAACATCCCGTCCCTCGCCCATGATGCAAAAATTATGGGGCGTTGGTGGTACATGCCCATGTCCTGATGTCCATATACAAAAATTTACTCATTGAGCTTTACTCAGAATCAGGCCAACAATGGATAACATCCGGTTTAGAAAGATAATGGGAAAGGGGCCTCAGGATGCAAATGTGTTCCTTCCCAAGTCCCTCTCCTTTGGTTCCTGCTTCAAGACATTCCTTCCTTACCTCATCAAACGGAGCTTCATCCTCACAGTTCTCAAGCACTCTGGTGTAGAAGGAGAGGCCTACAGAACCCAAAGAGAGAGAAGCAATTAGTTTGTGCAGAACCACATGAGACTCAGACTTAGTAAACAAGCTTGCGGAACACAGGGGATTTCCTTGCAATGCCACACTTGGTTGTGAGTAAAATAATATAACAGCTGCCCTGACAGTTCATCTAGTCTAACACTCTTCTGTTTCACACAGTGGCTAACCAGTTGCCCTGGAGGGCCAACAAGCAAGACACAGAGGCTGAGGCTTTCCCCTGGGGTTGCCTTGCCTGCCTCTGTATGTGGAAGTTCACTTTAGTCATCTTGGGTGGCGGTCACTGATGGACCTGCCAAGCACATGAATGATGTGGAATAACTACCATAGTGGTTGTGATTGCTATTGAGCCAGTAGCTTTTGATGGGAAAACATGCAAAGTTCTGGGTTGTGGAGAACTCTTTGACAAGCAAGAAGGAACGGAGCATGCTATTTTTAAATTCTTGTACTTAGGAAAAAAGTATAAAGAAAAGATTCAACAAAGACACAGTATTTAAATAGCAATGTCAGAAAGAGAAGAAAGACATACAAATAACTCTGTTCACTACTTCAATAGCAAAGGCAGAACTAGAATACAATTAGACACATCAAACATGTAGAAAAAGGTAGACAAAAAGATAAAAGACAAATTGGTTTGTCATTATCTTAAGAAACTCCTAAAATAAAATGATAAGAAATACCACTAATTATAAACCAGGGAGAGACCAAATTTAGAAATACCTCTTCAGTCACCTCAAATGCTAAAGGAATAATAACCAGGGGTCATTTCCTGCAGGAGCGCACAGGAGCGGAGCTCCGGCAGTAAAGAACCCAGGGGGCGGGCACATGCAACAAGTTTAACCCCCTGCTCCCAGCAGCCCTCAGTCAGAGCAAGAAGCATCCAGGTAAGTTGCAGAGCACCCCCCCCCCGGCCCAAAACAGTCCAGTGGCACCTTGAAGCCCAAGTTTTATTCAGGTCCAAGCTCTCCCTCCTCTGCGAGGACAGATCTGTGCGTTTCCCCCCCCCCTCCAATAGCAATCCAAAACAGTCCAGTGGCACCTGAGCTGTGACACACTTCCGGTGATGTCAGGGGGTGTGGCATATGCAAATAAGCTGTGCTAATGAGCTCCTGCACCTCTTTTTCTACTAAAAGACCCCTGATAACAACAACAACAATAATAATGGTGGTGGAAAGTGCTGTCATGTCACAGTTGACTTATTTCAACCCTGTAGGGTTGTCAAGGCAAGAGATGTTCAAAGGTGGTTTGCCATTGCCTGCCTTCATGTCACAACCCTGGTATTCCTTGGAGGTCTTCCATTCAAATACTAGTGAGGGCAGACCCTGTTTAGCTTCCGAGATCTGATGAGAGGAGGCAGCCTAGTTTATCCAAGTCAGAGTGGTGGTGGTAATAATGATGACGATGCAAGAAAAATTCTGGTTTAAAAAGTCCCCCTTTCGCTACAGCTGACTGTGAACCTACCTTAACTCAAAGCAGCAATGGCTCATTTCTTCAGCCTGGGGCATGGATCCTCCTGAATTACTGTTCCCCTGCCCCCGCATGCAAATTGCTAAATGGGGTTTGGTTGTCCCCCCCCCCCCACAATGAGAAAGGCTGCCTGGTGCCCAACATCCTTGAGATGATCCCCCAACTCATTCCTCACTTTCTTGAACGGCTCTACTAACAAAGGCAGTCAGCGACTCTCCATGTAGTAGCTGTGCTCACAAGAGAGGGTAATGATTTTAAGATTTCATTCCTCTACATCCATGGGGACTCCTCAGCGAGATTTTACAGAATGAGCCCCAGTGGAACCCACTTGCCGACGTCTCATCTCCGAGCTATTTGATCAGACTCATTTGCTAGAAATACTTCAAAGTTTTGGAGCCTGAGAGCAGGAACGGGGGACCTCGCCAGTCTGAAAAGCTCAGAGGTGGCCATATGACAGATTAGGACTGTCAGATGCACTATGGAGAGGAACTGGGGTACTGCATCTAGGCGTGCAGATAAAGCTACATACTCTTTCATTGCTACATCACCAAACCTTCTCTTTGAGCTCTTCTTTCATGCAGCTGGGGAGAAAAAGTAATTAAAATGCTAACATTTATACCGCCCAAATTCAAATTAAGCCTCTTGGAAAGGGAATGGCCTTTGATGGATAGTATTTGTCACCAGTTAAAGTGTTTTTTCTTATTTTAACGTTGTCAAGCATGCCTAATTTTTAAGGTTTCCATCTCTGGGTTGGGAAAGTCCTGGACATCTGGGGGTGGAGCTTGCGGAGGACACAGTTTGGGAGGGACAGGACCTCAGGGGGGTATAATATCACAGTGTCCACTCTCCAAAGAAGGTGTTTTCTCCAGGGGAACTGATCTCTGTCATCTGAAGATCAGTTGTGATTCCGGGAGACCTCCAGGTCCCACCTGGAAGCTGGCAACCTTGCCCATTTTGCATTTGTAATGGCAGAAGCTGTGTGAAGTGCCATGCTTGAAAAAACCTCTGCAGGGTTATTCCATGATAAGTTTGCTTTAGACGGTGCGAAAGCCCCCAGTGCTGAGCTTTGCTCTTCCTAATTGCCCTTTTCCTAATTAAATCCTCCCATATAATCAGGAGTGAGTCATATTATGAGGCAAGGAACACTGAATTTTACAGCAGTGGTTCTTAGGACTTAGTTTTAATGAGAGCTCTTGTCTTGGTTTTCTTCCCTTTTATAAATTTTAAGCAATAAGAGAGGATAGTTGGGAGATTTTCAGATTAAGAACCAGCTTCCTCATTTATACTGTGTAGCCACAATCCAGCATTCATGTCCTCCCATGTGATTGGCTAATGACAATGAGACAAGGCAACCTGAATATGACCTTCAGTAAAACAAGGGTTAAGTGACATGGTCATAGTCAAAAGGTTCATGGACGTTTTCACGGCAGAAGCTTGCCACACCAAAGAGACAAGCCATTTTCCAGTTTCAATGTAATAGTTGAGCAGAAAGGTGGGTTGCTTCTTTAGCATATGCTGGACTTCAACAAAACAAAACTTCTGTTATTTCGTTTTCTTGATAGGGTTTCATTTCTTGCTTTACCATCCCAGTGCAAAATCCCCCCCCCCCCAATGCTGTTCTTGGAGGTCACCATTTTGGGCTACAGTGGGAGAGGGGAGGGGAGAAAATTGCTTTCTGCTGATGGAAATTCTTCCAGCAATGGAAACACTTCATGGGCTTAAACCATGGGTGATTTCTCACGAGAGCTGCCTCGCAGCACAGCGCCGTTTGCCTTGACACAAATGTGTCAATTTCACACCCGAAGCTCCGGTGCTGCATTTTGACTCGGGGCTTCGCCCGATTTCCTCCGCAGTTTCGTGATCCTGGTTTTTGAGGATCATGAAACTGCAGAGGAAATCCTTGGAAGTCTCTGTGGTGTATTCAATCTGACCAAAGTATGTATGTGAACTCTGTCATTGAAACACCATGTGAAGCCTTCATCCCTCACTTGTAATTGGTAGCCCAGGAAGAACTGACCAATCACCAACAGCCAGTTCCAAGAGCGGGAACTATTGTGATTGGACCTTATCCCTGCAACCTCATAGGTTGATATTGTATAATAGGGTGTGGCTACATTAGCCGGGAGAGTTTAAAAGTAGAACAGCTTCAATGTAAAAGCTGTTCTGGCTATTCATGTTGATCTGTTTGGAGTTGAGTTACGAGTTGCTGAATAAAACTGATCTTTTGCTGAAATCACTCTCTGACTCTTTGTTAAGTAACCGACTTAACAGTCTCTCATCCAAATACTAGCCAGGGCTGACCTTGCTTACCTTCTGAGCTCTGACGAGATCAGGCTAGCCTGGTCAGGGCACACCCGCCTCTATTTCACATTCACAACAACACTGTGAGGGAAGTTAGGCTGAGAGAGGGTAACTGGCCAAAGGTTGTCCAGTGAGCTGCAGGGTTAAAGCAGAATTTGAATGAAGGTCTCAGAGGTCCTACATCAACAACTACACACAGTGGTTCTGCCCAGCTTGGTATAAACGCGTTATAACACTGGCTTATACAATGCTCACCAACTTTGGACCACCGTACTTCAAGTAGGGTTGCCAGCCATTGGATGGCAACGAGCAAGAGATGGGGGGAGCAAGGACAAAGGGGCATGCAGGCATCACATAGCTCTAGGAATCACCAGAAACTCTATGGTAAAACAATTCTCCTTTATTACCACTCCATGATCCATTTGCCCATCTTTTCCTCCTATCTAACCCCTTCCTTCCCCCACTGCTTTTGGCAGCAGTTCCTTTGGGGAAGAGTTTTATACTGGCAGCTTGAACCTTTCCCCTCCCTCCTACATGAAAATCAAGCAACAATTTAGTGCAGTTCTTCCCACTTTAAATGCATAGTTAAACCTGTCACCTTTTGCTCTAACTCTTGCCGGGGTCTTTTTCTTGCTGTAATGAGATTTTTCTGCTGAATGAACACACACCCTCAGGGAGACCCTGCTTTGAACCTGCACAGGAAGGCAAAAATGCCTAGATAAGCAAGCACCGACCTCTCCTGATTACTGCTTTGGAATTTCCCCATGACTTGCCACAAACACACGTATTGACTTCGTTCATGATACCAATAGAACTACCTGGTGATCTCTTGGATGCCATATGGTCCTTTTCGCACCTTGACTCCATCAAGGTCTTGCAACCTGGTGCCAGGAGGAAGTGCTGGCACGGCAATGCCAATAGGCATGGGTGGGGTTGCCAACCTCCAGGTGGGGCTTGATGATCTCCTGAAATTACAACTGATCCTCAGACTACAGGGATTGGTTCCCCTGGAGAAAATGGCTGCTTTAGAGGATGGACTCTATGACAATATCTTCTGCTGAGGTCCTGCCAACCCTAAACACCCTCCCCAAGCTCCACTCCCAAATCTCCAGGAATTTCCCAAACCAGCGTTGGCAACCCTAGGGTCCCAGCTCTGGGCTGATACCCACAGAGTTGCCATCATCCTCACAATCCTGAACCACCTCTGATTTGG